TCAATAGTAAAAGTAAGATAATCAGGGAAAACAGAAAATTGTAAGTATTTATGTATAAAATTATTTCCTAGCAGAATGTCTCCATGCATATTAGGAAAATATAATATTTTAGGTATAATAAATTTTCTATCATTTAAGGCAACAGGAATATTCTTTGCTTTTAGGTTAACTATGATTTCTTTACCATTGATACCTACTATTATTATAAGATGCTTCATAGGTTGCCATTTTGTTGAAGGTAAAGCATTGGGTCAACAGCTAGAGATTGTTATTTCTGTGTCAATCAAATATTTAAACTATATGGTTTATAGTTTGAGAAATAAAAATATCCTTCTATTTAAGTATAATAATGAACATTTTTAGCAAAAAAATTTATTTTTGGCATGTTTTGTGCAGATATACGATAATTATTTATATAATGAAACATTTTAATATCTTCATTTTTAGTTTTTCTAGTTGAAAAAGTGTGTGAATTTAACATAGAATTTACAAAATGATAATAGGTTTGGTTATCACCTGTACCTTGCTAAGATGGATTATCTCTTGCAAAAATAGAGATTTGAGCATTATCAGTATTACCTGATTGATGCATACTATTTACTCTTCTGAGAGCTTCTGTACTGTTTGTACTATAAAAACCTGAAAAAAAATTTCGGTAAGAAGTACAAAAAGATTGATTACTTGTTATACTCTTTATATCATCATCTTGTTGATGATCAAAAATATTTGTAGGAGGTAAAACTAGGTTTGGATTAAAACTGGTTGATGTATCTAGATTTTTGAAGTAAAGATTTTTTTTTTATGAGAAAAATTCTAAACTTGATACTTTCTGTTTTTCAGAAGTATTTGAAAGATCTTTGAGACACTATCCTTTTGGGATTGATAAATCTGCGAGATTTACTAGTTTTGGTTTAATTTCTAAATCAAAATTGTTTGGTTCAAAAATTTCAATAATATTGGAGTCCATCGGTTTGATAGAAGTATTGGTAGTATTTGTAATATTTGTAAATTCATAAACCGCTAACAAGTTGATTAAAAGATCATGCGAAGTAAATTCGAAATCAGAATTGATTATTTTGATTCGAAGGCATAAACATTTCTCAATGTTTTCATCAAAAATAGAAATAAAATAGTTTGGTTTAACTTTGAATAAAACTACTCCTGCTGCTAAATTGGATTGGATTCCACCAATTACAGCATTAGTAGGGTTTTGAAAACGATGATCCATTAAAATAGCTATTATGGGAATATCTTTTGTGGATAAAAAGAGTGGTTTAATGGTGATCAAAATCATTCTGATATGGATGTATTTGACCTTTGAATATCGAGAAAGAAAATGGCTTTTTTTTTTTTTAGTAAAAAGAGAGATTTCTACCGATCCTTGTTTATAATCGTTAGCGATCGTATCACCATATAATTTTTCTATATGGCGTTTAGACCAAGGTTGGAATTGTTTAAACTAACTTGTTTTGTAAACCTCATCTGGTTTAATGAGTAGTAATTCTTTTAATTTTTCATCAAAAATAAAATGAGTTTTTCTCATAATATTTTTTAGTTTAATTATTTCGTCTTCGTTGGTAGTTGTTGTACCTGTAAAAGAGGTTACTGAAACATTATCATGGTTAAATTCAATATTTATCATAAAAATAATATCTGAGTCATCTTCAGAAGAACAATAATCAATTTCTGAAAAAACTTCATAATAAATTTTTTCGTCAGATAATTCATCAGCAAAACAAATTTGAAGAAAAGTTTCATCAAGTTTTTTGATCACTTTTTTCTTTGGTAGGACAATTGTTTGCATAGTGACCTTCTTGATCATAAAGAAAATATTTACAATTATGTTTAGAAGATTTTTATTTTTTTTTAACAACAAATTTACCTTTTTTAGGTTTAAAAATTGTTGTAGGTTTCCATTTTTTTCAAAAATATTTTCATTTTTTCGTAAAACGATGTTTCTTTGAAAAAGATTGTTTATTGCAGCCAAATTCAAATTCATTTTTCAAAATCTTTGTACATTGTTTATATGAAAGTTTGGATTTTACCTGCTTGATAGCTTTTTGCTTGAGGAAGTATTCGTTGACCTGATTCTGAACGTAGCGTATTCTACATCCAAGAGTATCATAAAGTTCTATATTGAGATTTACAGCATGAACTGTTTTGAGTTTTAACTTTAAATAAATAGGGTAATTTTGTGAACATAATTCATCCCATGGTGAGAAAAGTTTGAGAAAATATTGTTGTAACCAAAAGTTTGAATGTTTTAATCTAATTTTTGATATTTAAGAAGATATTTTTTAGAAAAATCATCAAGATACTGAATATCACATAATTTTAATTTTGATAAAATAAATTGAGCTTCTTGAGTGGGATCCAGAGATTCTGTACTACCATAAAATTCATTTTTCAAGATTTGTGTTAAATCTTTTAGAAGTTGAGGGATATTTCTTACAGCTAACAGGGTTGATTTCTGTTGTTCTTCGAAGGTTGTAGTTATTCATTTTTTGAGAAATTTAAGGACATCACCCTGCCATGTACCACAAAAATAATTGATGAATCTTTATTTGTTTCATTGCTCCTTGTATCCTGTGACAACAATAGACATAAATTGTGCCCAATCATCTATGGTTTTTTCATAGTCTTTAAAAGGGACTTTGGTTACATCTAAATAAGTACCGTCTTGAGAAACTATTCGTTTGTTTAACAAATCGATAACGGGGGTTTCAATCTTAACTTGACCTGTTTGGCCAGAATCAGATGTTTGTTTTATCTCATCCTTGTTTAAGTGAGAATATTTTTCTTTTAAATGAGGAAGATGTTGATCCATTATATCGAGCTCAAGTAAATCTGAAAATCATAGCATATCATCAATATCTGGGTTAGATATTACTTCGCTTTTCTTTTCCTAAGTTCTTCTGTTTGAGGGATAGGAATTTCACTTGGTTCTGGATCTGATTGATCATCAGAACTATCATCTTCATCTGATGTGGTTTCATCTGATGAAGTTAGTTCATCCTTAACTACTAGGTTAGTAGCTAGAATTTCAAAATTATCATCTATTATATTAGCATTTGCTTCTTCACTATTGGCACTGATTGTGTCATAATTAAACATATAATGATATTTATATTCAATAAAGAGTTCTTTATGTTCTTCATAAAGAGTCTCTATTGCTTGAAGATAATCAATCCGTTGTTGCGGATCTTCAGTTTTTTCCATTTTATATTTAAAATTTTTAATTATATATTTATCAGAGTCAAAATCAAGTTGTTCTTGTCTTTGCCTTTGTTAAGGAAGATGAGGGTTTATCAGCATTCATCATAATATTACCATAGTAAAGAGGTCAAAAATCTGTAAATGTATCTGGAAGAACATATTTTTAGTCTATTTTTTCTATAAGCATATCTACTTTATCTTCTATATTATCCATTTTTACAAAAATTTTATGAAAAAAAGAAGAAGTTAAGTCTATTAATGCATTTACAGTTCTACTTATGCTAATATTACTAGATTCATACTTAGGATCTATATGCAAGTCATGATTATAAGATTTATCTTGACAAACAAAGGTATTTTCTTCATAAGTTCTCATGTTTCTAGTGCTTAAAACTGGTGTGCTGTTCTAACAACGTTAGCCAACAAAGACAACTCAAGCCACAAAAGTCAGTAACAACTCAGATATGCACGTATGAGCTTTGAAACAAAGAGCTTAAGAAGAAAATGCAAGTAAGAGGAAAGAAAATCTTACAAGATGAAATACAAGTAGACTTTTATTGCTGAATCCGTAATACAGCTTAGCAAACCTTTGTACAAGCCTAAAGCTCTGATACCATTTATAAGGGGGTGCAAAAAGGGTCTATGTATAAAGGATTACAAAGCTATATCCATATAAATTTATAAGTGGAAGTAGATAAACAAGAGAGAAAAGAAGGTGAATAGATTGGTGCATTTATTTCAACACCATGTTTGATAGAAGAAAAGATTCTGACTGTTTGACCCAAAAAAAAGAAAAAAAATACAAGATTTCCTTGTAGCTTGTAAATATGCCCATTGCTTTTCTTTAATGCCTTTTCCCTATTCTATCACAGTTCACGTAATTTATTCTTTTCCTTTTCTTTTGATCATGGGAAATTCTGAAAGAAAGGAGAGGGAGATGGAAAGGGTGAAATCCTGGACGTAGAGGTGAGAAAAAAAATTAAAAATTTTAAAAAATAATTTAAAATTGTAATGTTTAGTTTAATTCAGATCGATTTTTTTTATTCAATTTAAATCAAATTCAAATGTTAAATATATATATTAAATTAAAATTAGATTTCGAATCAAAGGGTGAAAAACAAAAAAAAAATCGAATCGAATTGAATTATATATATTTTAAATTTTTATAAAATAAAAATAATAATTTTATATTAAAATCTATTTAAATACATTAAAATTTTATATTAAAATAATATATAAAAATTAAAAATCGATAAATTAAATCAGTAAAATTCAATTCATATTGAATAAAGATTAGGATTCATATCGTATTTTAAATTTTCATAATATTATACAATATTCAAAAATATTAAATCGAATTTAATTCAACCCATTATTACGCGTATTTGGACCTATACCCCTGAATGGGTGCGAAAACACTAGGGCGAGTTGCCACCCAACCGTGGATGGTTGGCTCCATTATAGCCCTTTGGTGAAGGATATGAGCGTGCATGTGGGGCAATATCCCTCACCATTCATAAACGCTTATGCCAAGATGCAACCCCTTAAATGCGTGATTAGCTCTATACACATGGTTTCCAAGTTGAGCTGGTCATATTGGTCGAAGATGCTGGAGTACCAATGGCAGTGTTTGCTGTTTACCTAGCATATCCTGGGTGCATCAATAACATCAGAATATTTAGAAAGCATACAAGTCCGGAAAAGTATGTATTGATTTAAGTTTTACAGTGTAACACCGTGTGATCATTACGTTGGAGAAAAAGAACTTGACCTGAAGCCCAGCATGGCAAAATTTTGAGTTCATTTCCAGCCTTACACAAGAAAGGTCAGGGTACATGAACCATTCGATCAATAATATTAGTATAAACTAGTATGACTGTCACATTTACACTTTCCTAATCACATTTACACGAGGAAAAAGTAGTAAATCCATATAAAATTCAAAATCCTTTAGTCCATACAGATGATGAGGTTATGTTATTGGCTGTGTAGTGCTAAAGGAACCCTCAACCTGGTTAAAACTGTTCCCACTTGATTGGAAAAATGAAACAGCAGCCCAAATCACACGTAGTAGCAGGATGACCACAAACACGGTACCTCCAAGGGTGCAAACCACCTGTGAATGTGATCGATAGAGAATATCATTTCAGTATTTGGAAATTATCTTCATTACCAAACCAAGCTGAAGAAAATACATGAAGAGTGACACTGTTAGCTGAAGAAAATGCATGAAAAATGACAATGTTGGCAGTGTCAATCCACAGCAATAGTAACTTAATCCAACTCTCCAGTAATGGTTTGGCTTGATTTAGGCTCTCAATTAATTAAATCTTATCTGTTTTCTCACTTTCTCAGCTTGTTTTCCATCATGCACGAAATGATAATAGATAATGATTCAAGAAAATGTTCAATGTGATGTTGTGTTCATGCGTTCGGCAAGGCTAAAATGTTTTCTTTTCTTTTTCTTTTCTTTTTTTTGTACAAAAGATGCCACATCCTGGAGATAAGAAAAAAGATTGCAGGTGCTGGGATTTGAACCCAAACCTGCTGAATGCAAGGTGACTGCATGATCCACATGAGGTAAGCTCCAGGTTCATCTGAGATAATGCTAACATGTTGTTGAAGCAGCACTAAGTAGCATCTTAGCTATACAAAAATAGTAACTAATAAAGTGATGATACCTCAAGAAGTGCTTTGAAGACGGAAAGTGCAGCCAACAACAGGACTCCATCAACTGCAAAAGACACCTGAATTTTCCCCAAGGCCAAGATCCAAAACAAAAACAAAAGGCAAATAAGAGTAAACATTGGCACTAACAAGGACATGATCCTTAGAGATAAAAATTTTGCTAAATTTAAACTCGCATGTAGACAACAACACAATATTAACTATTCAAATCTATATGTTTGGTAGGAAGGAAAGAAAGGAAAAAGAAAATAATAATAATAATAACAATAATAATAATAATAAAAGAAGACAAAGCAAAAAGCACGCAGCAAATCAATCCTTAAAATTCATTAATGACATTTGAACGAAAAGCAGAGGGGTTTCAGTATTTCACCAGCTGGGGCGATATTGCAGCAGGTAAGACGGAGCGAGAGGCCTTTTTGGCACGCTTCGAGACCTTCCTGAACATGCTTTGCAAGAACCTCATCAACAAATCAACGCTGCTCTCTGTTTCGTCATCTTCGTCGCTCTCCTCCTCCACCAAATAATCGAAGCAAGGTTCGTCGATCGCCTCCGTTTCCTCACCGGCTGAACCATCAAACTGAAAAAAGCACACACATACGGGTTAGTGGCAAACTAGTATTTCAGCAAAACGAAGAAGGGGAGTTTTGATTAATTAAGGTACCCGGCTACGGAAAATGGACATTACGGGGGGTTTGGTGTTGAGGGATTTGTTAGGGAAGGAAAGGGTTGCGGTTGGGGAGAGTAAGTGGGGGAGTTTCTTGGTCGGAGAAGGAATGAGACTGCTGCGTGATAAGGCTATGGCCATCGCCATTTGAGAAGAAACATACAAAAAACAAAGTGGATTTGGGATCACCAAACATCTAAGATGTGAACTTTTGAGAGAAAAGAAAACGGGCATAGAGGCCCAAAATGAATAATTTAAACCCAAAAGCCTGAAGTGTTTTCTGATTTGACTTTGACCCACGATTTATATGATTTAATATTGGATTAATTCTATGCTAATCAGGCCTTAGTTTAGTGGTAAAAGACGAGATTTTAAAATCTTAAAATTTTAGTTTCAATTTTTATTATGTGTGTAATATTTTATTTAGAGTGTAATTTTAAAAAAGAAGTTGAATTAATATCATCAATATTTTTAAATTATAACAAAATATTTAATATGACATTTAAATTTAAAAAATTTTTAATACAATATTTGAATTATAAATCTATTAACTAATTATATGATACTCAATGTGACTAATTTCAAATAATGATAAATAACAGATAAATAACCCTTTAAGTACCACATTAGTTAATAAATTTATAATTTATATACTACATTAGAGATTTTTAAAATTTAAGTATCACATTAAATATTTTTTACTATAATTTTGGAATCATTCATGATAATAATCCTTTAATATTTAATATTAATTTAATATTAAATCATATAAATGCAATCAGTATTTAACAAAAATAAATATATTTTTTATACAAAAACACCACAATTTGAGATAAAAAGGATTGTAGATATAAGATTTGAATTATAAATTTACTAAATACCTTATTATAGAATCAACTAAACTAAACTTCAATTTCAATAAAAATAAATATTTGACACATTAATATAATTATTGTCACAAAAATGAGATTGATCTTTATATAAACCTCTCAAACTAATTCAAGCATCTAGTAATATAACAAAAAGTATGCTACTGAAAAAAAAATTTGACTAAACAATTTTTAAACCTTATAATGGTAATTGCCGGTTGTTAAACCAAATAATAATCGAATTTCAAAATTAAAAGGTTGAATGTTCAATTTAAGATATAACATTTGAGTGTTTTCTCATTTAATAATATTGATAAGGGTATTTTATAGTTTAAAAGATAAAATCGTATTTTCATTATAGAAAGTGACTTAGTAAAATAATAAAGGTATTTCAATTATTTGAGTCGAATTAATGTGGCAAGCTAAGTTGAAGGGGCAAACCGACCTAATTTCTTGAAGCACACATTGCCAATGCCAATATAGCATACCAACAATTGCTCAAGTTCATACCCTTTAATTCAAATTTGGAATTAACATTTTGGTACTTTGATAGGACTTTTTCTTTATTAAGTTTGGAATAGCACCACGAAAAATATAATAGCGATGGAGGTCATCCAATAGCAATAGAAACCTTTAACATTCAGTTCGGATAATGGCCAAGTTGGGTATGGCTAAGGTGCCAAAGATCCAAGGTCTAGCTGACTAAAGAAAGAAAAAAAACAAAGAGATCAACCGAGCTGGTTATAACCAATATGGTGCAAACATAAGGCTTGGTTAATTTGTGGAAGGAAAAAAAAATTGATTGTTTTCCAATGTTTGCCAGTGAAACCTATAATAGTGTTTCTAATCCTTTTAATCAATTATATTTATTTTGTGTTAATCTGTAGATACATGGAGTAATACCATGTGATGAGATTCAATAGTGAAGTTATAAAAGTGAATGAATTTTACTACAACAATTTGTGAGGTTACAAAAATGGATGAGTTCAACCACAATATCATGTGACATTGAAGCTACACAAATGATGGCCAATTGAACTACATATCAAAGTCTCTCTCTGACTATAACCTTCCAAAACTCTTATTAAACTACTCTAAAAAGCAAATATATATATATATATATAAATGACAAGGATACATGAACTTAACAAGTGATAGAGGTAAGGTAGAGCTTTTGCTCACCTTAATAAAAGGAGAAGGAGAGAGGTTGAGCATATCCCAAAAGGAAAAAGAATTCTATACTTGAGGTACTCTTGTCTTGCCCAAGATCGAGACGCAACATGATCATATTACTTTGAAGTAAAACCCCAAAGTAATACGAAACCTACCTTCTTAATCATTCTAAAATTTTTCAATAAACTGATGATAAATCTAAATACAAACTAATACAAACATAAAACTATTTCATAAGATCTCATTGGCCAACATTGTCTCTGACGACTAAGTAATTTCTCACATTTTAATCATCTAGCTTTTCACAAGATTAAGAAAATTTATCACTTACTCATCTATAGAAAAAAAGAAAAAAAGGGAATGAGCAAATCATAACTTAACCAGTATAGGCTCACATATTTTATCAGATCAAGTATCGTATTCATATATACTTATAGATCATTCCAAAAACATTCATCAAATCATAATGTCAAAATATTTCAAAAATCATCATTATGTCAAACATGTTGTAAATTATAAATCAATATAAAAAATTTTCAATTTATAAATCATTACGACATATGTTGTTATTCAAATATAATAATCAAACCATATTATGGATCAATCTTTAAAAATCATTATAAACCATCATCATCATAAATCATCATTATCATTTGTTTATAGTTACTTACGGTCACTGCTATAACTCGTGACATTGGTTGTATTGACAATTTCATTCTTATGATCATTGATAACTATTATAACCCGCTAACTAGGGCTAATGCTAACTACTAACTAGGGCCTAATACTAATTACTATAACTTGTTAGCTAAGGTTATATGATCATAGCTATGCTAATTAATATAACTCGTTAGCTAAGACTGTAGAATTAATTCTGATGTCGATGATCTCATTTCTTAAATATGTAAAATATAGCTATCATAAAATTGTTCTTTAAACATAAATAAATTTCTTATTTCATTCATAAGTATGATCCATCATTTATATAGCAAAACACAAAACAATCATATGCTTGACCTTATTTTCATATATAAAAAATAAAGAAATAAACTTTCACTTATTTAGAAACATACATATACACATAAGTTTGAAAATAAGTACATGTGTAAGATTTTACTTACCTTTTTTGATTCCACTACTTAATTTTTCCCCCCAAAATAATTTAGGGCTTATTCAAGATCATTTCATTATAGTAAAAATTAACCAACCCATTTTGAGATCAATTATACTAAAAACAATTAAGTTAGACAAATGTTAACCCAACTAACTAATACTGATAGCTTAAACTATTTTCACTAAAATATATCTTAAGATATTCAATTCAGAATTAAAATCTTTTTAATGCGTTAGAAACTAGATTTGATAAGCTTTCTAATCATATATAGCCCATATTGTGATTCTTTATATATTAATAATAATAATTTTTGCAATCTATGCCATATGCTACTATTCAATAGCATGTATACATTCTAATAAAAATTATATATTTATTCATAGGAGGCTCAGAATTCAATTTCGTTTATTTCTTTGGAAAGTAGACTTGATAAACTTTTCAAACATGTATGGATCAATTCATAATTCATTGTATAAATATTTAGAGAATCTTTGTAATTCCCCTTGCTGCTATTGCCATGCAACTTACACATCTTTAAGTAAAAATTAGACAACTCTTCATAGAAAACTCAAAACAAACTTCTGTTTCTTTTATTTGAAAGTAGATTTAGCAAGCTTTCCAATGGTATATAATAATCATAGCAATACTTTATCCCTTAATATAGAATATTATTTTAATCCACTATTGCAAACATCATGGTTCATACAAAATAGAAAATTTCCTTTCTAACCCCATTCAATTACTATTTTCCATTTATATAGCAATAAAATCACATTACTAAACCTTTTCAATACTTCATTAGACACTAATCAAAGTCTAAATGATTTGCTCGAACCAATTTTGAAAGGGACTAAAAGATTTCCTAAAATTTTAGGATTTCTCAATTACAAATTAAACCTCGAGATTTAACAATCAACATTATTTTTCCAAAATTGAAAAAAGTTATTTACTCACCTTTGAAAGAAAACTTTTCTTGTAGATTTTGTTCTTGACCTTCAATTGAAATCCTTGAACTTGTATGCTTTGTATAAGGAAGAAATGAGAAATAAGCCATTTTTTTTTTCGATCAATTGTTGGCCAACCAAGTAATCTAAGTTAACTTTATTAAAAAATTAGGTTATTTATTAATAAGTCTTTTGCCTTTTTAACTCTTTATTAAAAAGTTCCTTCACTTATAAAAATACTTAACAATAGTCTTTTTTTTTTATAAGTGTTACAACTCTAGGGCCAAAAGCTTAGATGAAAAATTACCTTCATAAAAGCTTAGTTTGACAAATTGCTTTTATAAAGGGTCAACTTGGCTAAAATACCTTCATAAAGGCTTAGCTCGACCAAATTGTTTTCATATAGGTTCAGTTCGGTAAAATTCCCTTCAAAAAAGCTCAGCTCGATAAAATTACCTGCAAAATAGCTTAACTCAGCCAAATTGCTTTCACAAAGACTCAGCATAGTGAAGTTTTTTTCATAAAGGCTCAACTTGACTAAATTGTATTCATAAAGATTCAGATTAGCCAAAATGCTTCCATAAAGATTCAGCTCGATAAAATTACCTTCAAAAGTGCTTAACTCGATCAAATTACTTTTATAAAGGCTCAGCTTAGCCAAATTACCTTAAAAAATGTTTATCTCGATGAAATTTCCTTCATAAAGGCTTAGCTTAGCCAAAATGCTTTCATAAAGACTTAGTTTGGCAAAATTGCATTCATAATCATAAAGGCCTAGCTTGGCCAAATTGCCTTTATAAATGGTTAATTGGGCCAATTACCTTCATAAAGATTGAGGTCGGTAAATTATGTTCATAAAAGCTTAACTCGATAAATTGCTTAATTTATCAAAATTATATTTATAAAGGCTTAGCTCGATAAATAGCTTTAATAAAGATCTAGGTCAGCTAAATTATTTTCATAAAAGCTCAGCTCGACGAAGTTGCCTTCATAAAGGATTAATTCGGCTAATTTACCTCTATAGAGGTTTAGTTCAGCAAAATTGTCTCACAAAAGCTCACTTCGTCATAGGCCACCTAGGCATAAATCCATCTTGATGTAAGTCATCTTATCATAAATACACTTTATC